ATAAGAAATAAATTCATTTTTTTAAAGCTACTCTGTCTATTGTATTTCATTGTAGCAGCCCAAGCAGATTAAGACAATAAGAATATAAATGAGGCTGTTGCCTCCCTCCTGCCTCCGGCCTCCTCCTTTCTGTTTTGAGTGCAGAGGTGATGTTCAAAACTAAAGTAGACATCTTGTAGTCATAGAGTACAAGTGTAGAATAAAAGCCAGCACGCTAAGGATAGAAGAGCAGAAGGAGAGAGAGAACTTAGGTCCTTGATGACACCTTTCAGCAGCTAATATACTGTAATCATCTACCTTCAGTCTTCTTGATACCTGCAAAAAAAAAGCCTTTATTTATTTAAACTACTACAAGGTGAGTTCATTGCTAGAAACATCTTAAAGCATTCATAAAAATGAGAAATGGCTATGGTTCATTAATACTCAACTTTCTGTATATACATAGATTATTTAGTTCTTGTTTCTTTGTAATTTCACAAAACAGATGAATGTAATATCAAATAAGAATGTCTTCATTAAGTCAATCTTCTCAACAAATAAATTTTTAAAGGTTTAACTATGTAGACTTTCTCTAAGGAGAAATTGTTTAAGCCTCAGGTATTCTTTAATATGTTTTCCAAGGAACTCCTATTATCTGGAGAAATCACTGAATTTAGTAACCACTTTTTCAGTAACATTTTTATTTAAGTATTTTGTTTCTCTAGCTACTCATTTGAAGATGATACTAGCATGAAAAATATGCTTTGCTAAGAACCTGGGAGACAGTATTTTCAGACAATCTTCAACTGCTATGAAGAGTCAGTCTCTGTAATAAACCAATAGGATTGGGTGGATTTTGTTAGAGGCTTTCAAGGATCAGACTAAGCAATCTGAAAATGCAATTCAAATACATGCATCTATATGCAGTCACTGCGGGACATTGCAGGACTGCGTGTAACCAACTTCTTGCCTGTAACTTCACCGATCTGTGCATTTATGACACTGATTGTCATCCTAAAGATGACATTTGCATTACTGTTTGTTCATGGGGCTTTCATTTTCATAAACTGAAATGTTCTTTTATGTATTGTTCATTTTTAATATCACTACAGTGTTTCCTCTGGTTTAGCTCTAATCATCTCACATTTCCCATATTACCGTCTAGTCCTGGGTACACCGAGGTCAAGGACTGGAGTAACTAGACTCGGGGCTAAGGAACAACTATGCTCTTGGTGAATTAAGCTTTTTTCTCTTTTTAGATCAAACTGGAGGTAATTTTTAAAAAAGTTATAACTACTCAAATTTTTGAGCTATTATTTTATCTTTAATATTCTTTTATCTTAACCTGAGGATATGTTTATTGATTTTCAGTAGAGAGGAAGAGGGAGACATTGATGTTAGAGAAACATCTGTTGGTTGTCTCCTGTATGCACCAGGCTGGAGATCGAACCCATAACCTAGGTAGGTGTCTCCTGACTAGGGATTGAACTTTTAAGCTTTTGGTGCATGGGATGATGCCCTAATCAAGTGAGCCACCAAGCCAGGGCAAATTCTTGAGCTTTTAGATCAGACATGCCAAATACTGTACTTAGTATGCAGATACGGGCTGTAGAGAACAAACCAACAAACACTAACCAACGACTCAAACAACCAAGTAAATAAAACTCTGGTTTACATAAAGCATTAGTCCAAGATTGATAATTTATAGATATCAGGAGTACTAATAGACTCTCATACCCAAATGAAAGTATTTGGGGAATGAGGTACATTCTTGTTTGTACCTCATTCTCATAAATGTTAGATAGATGGATTTTCTTCTATTGCACCTAAAAAGTGGTTGACTTTTCCTTAATGATCTCTCACACCTACCAACCAATGGGAGAAATAAAATTATTAAAACTATTTTCAAAGATGATATATTAAGCCATAGAGAGATTTAGCTACTCTCCTCATTTTTTTTTTCAGTGTTACACAGTGACCTGTTGGCATTGATGGAAATGAATTTACCCCATTTTCAATTTAACATGTCCTCTGTAAATTACTTCGGATGTTACGGTTATGTTTCCTTGCCATGACCAATATTTATGGTAAAATAGTCAAGGTCAGATTTTCAGTTCTGTCAGTGAGCAATTGAATGGAAACCAACTGGATTGGTAAGAGATGGACAATCGGATTCAGCCCCAAAAAGCCAGATTGACCCGGCAACGATTTCCTTTTAAAAGGTGGTTAGCCATAGCCTAACTCCTGATAAATGCAAATCAGTGTTATTAAATAGCATCTAGAAAGAACACTGCTCCACTGTCTAAAAACTTTGTCTTCAATTGTACTGATAATTGAACAACCACATGCTCTGAGTAGTAAGACCACAGGAGAATTTGCTATAGATTTTGGTAGTAACCATTTAAATTCATATAATATATACATGTGTTTGGGAAAAAAAACCTTTTTAAAGACTAAAATCCAGATAAAAAGAAAATACAGTTGTCCTTTCTTATCTGCAGGGGACACATTCCAAGATCCCTGGTGCATGCCTAAAACTGTGGACAGTACAGAACCCTATAAAAATACATAGGTATAATAAAGTTTAATTGTATATACATAGCTATAATAAAGTTTAATTTACAAATTAGGCACAGTGAGAGATTAACAACAATAATTATTAATAAAATGTAACAATTATAACGGTATACCATAATCAAAGTTATATGAATGGGGTCTGTTTTCTCGCTCAAAAATACCTGTTTTACTGTACTCACCCTTCTAGTGATAAAGTGAGATAATAAAATGCCTATGTCATGACATGGAGTGAGGTGAATGAGACAGTATTAAGTAAAATAGGCTTAAACACGAGCACTGTGATACCCTGATAATCATTCTGATAACTGAGACGGCTGCTAAGTGACTAACCGTGGGGAGTGTACACAGTGTGGGTGTGGTGGGCAGAGGGACGGTTCACATTCCAGGCAGGATGGAGTGGGGTGGTGGGAGACTTCATCATATGACTCAGAATGCCATGTAATTTAAAGCTTAAGAATTGCTTATTTCTGGAATTTTCCATTCCATATTTTCAGACCTCAGTTAACCATGGGTAACTGAAGCTGCAGCAATTTAAACCGTGGATAAGAGAGGATTACAGTAATTCTAAATTATAGTCTCAGGAGAGCAGTAGGAGAGTGGATTGAATGAGCAGGAGAGCTTTGTGAAACTTGAGTAGGTGGCCTGAGTCTAATGCTCTGATATAGATGTTTCCACTTCTGTTGCAATAAATAAGAAAAACAAACGGGATCATTTGTCAACACCTGGAGAAAACTTTAAAGAGGTGATTGTGCAACATATAAAAGAATTTTCTAAGCACCAGGTTGTTCAGTTTAAGAAAGACAAACATTAAATGGACATGCAGAATTGCTTTGAAGGTTTTGAAAGATCCAACTAGTTAAACTTTTGTACTGTATAAAACTTCATAATTCCTCATTTCAAAATAGTTTGCTTTTTGAGCTGAATTTATTAGGAAAGTCATTAGGTTTTCAAGGCTATTATTAACAGTAGTAAAATACCTTAGAATGGCTGAATCATTTATGTATAGAAGAAAACATCTGAGGATCTATGTAATCAACTTTTGCTCTCTATGACTGAATGCATGGAGAAAACGTGTGTCTGAATTAGCACTGTGCTGATCTCTGCTCTTCTCTGGTTAGAAGATCCTGCAAAAGATCCATCTTTATCTTTGTCAAGGAGAAAATGGTCTTTATTTTCTCTTCTTATTTCTGTAAAAAGCGGAAGATACTTTGATGAACATGTTATCTAAGCAGGACTTTTTTTCTGTACTCTGGGTGTTGTTTGTCTTACACAATTGGGTTTGAGTATGTTATGTGTTTCCTGATTAGTATTTCTGATTAGGACATAGATAATCATCGGGAGTAAATGCTGCTGGATATTTTTGGACTTCACATAAATATACATGAATGTGGATGGCAGGAAAATAGTAAATAACAATGCAACACTGAATGATTAGAGTCTAATATGCTATGTTGTCAGGGAAGAAATGTGAGTTTAATTTCCGGTTGTAGCCTCTTATAACTCACCCTGTTCTTAGTGCGATAGGGACTGACCCTGTATAAATGTGTGGTGTTTTGCTCCCAAACCAGAAAGAGTCAGATTTCTAATTCTGGAATTATTCTTCCTTTTCAATGTTCATTTGCTTTTTGATGTATGTGATAAATGACAGTGATGCATTTCTGTACAGTTGGATGTTTTTAAATGTCTTTACAAGAAGAAAAGAAGGAAAATAGGAAAATAATACACAAATAAATAAAAATATATGGTGTTCGGCAGACTGAGACACTAATCACTTTGGCTGCTTATCTCAGGCCATCTGGATGCCAGGTAGCAAGCATCCTGCGGTGCACTCCTGATTTGGTCTGTTATTCTGCGCGCTGGTGTTGCCTGTGCTGGCTCGCCTAACTGTTCATGTTAATGCACAGGCTGCCCCTTCTGCTCCTTATGCACAGTCATTTCCCTGCAGGTGGCATCAGGGACTGGATTGTGCATTTCTGTTTACTTTATAGATGGTGAGGTTGAGATGCAGAAATGAGGACATTGGCCTTGAATTATGGCCCGACTCAATGCCAAAAACAAGAACTCGGAGCTTTCTAATTCCCAGCCCTGTGAAATACCAGCTTGTATTTCCTCTTCATCTTGGCCTCGTAGTTTCTTCTGTAAATCAGGTCCAGTGGCCTTACCACAGCACTAGCTGCCAAACACTTTCACCTAACACTGTAATGGGCTGTCAGGGCTTCAGGACAGGAGTCTAAAATAAATGATCTGAAGCCTGCTTCAAGAAGACAAACTGTTTCCATGACTTCAAGTCCTGTTTCTTTCCCGAATTCCACTGACATGGCCACAGGAATACAAAAACAAAACGTGAAAAAATCTCTGTGAGTTGCAGAACAAGAACGAGTGCACTCCACATGCCAGAGGAATCTCTGGAAGAGACACTGCAAGTGAGAGCAGTGGGCTCTGACCAAGCTGCAGATCACTGTGTCGGAGGTAAAGCTGCCCAGTGGAGTAAGTGGATACAGTCCTTCCTGAGTAGCGTTCTGTGCTGAGAGCCGTGTAGAGCGAAGGCAGGAGCCAGCCCGAGAAGTTATGGTGGCGAGCAAATTTCAGTTCTTCCAGAACCTGTGAGGATGAGCAAGTGTCAACAAAGAGTCAGAGTCCCCTGCGTCCATTCTCAGCTAACACTGGATGCAGAAAGGATGAGCTTTAGGGAGCTGCTAGCAGTGGGAATGTTTCTCTCTCAGGGCTACATCAGGTACCTGAGAGTGAAATTTCTGGGTTTCATAGTCAGAGTCTGTCTAACAGTTGTCACACACACTTGTATTTCTTAACGATTGCAATGCCTACACATATTAGGCCGTTTCTTCTCATTTTAGTCCTCGGCTTAAAGGTGGGAGGCTTGACTTGTCTGAAGGTCCTTTGCCCCAGAACTGCATGTTCCCACAGTGCTAGAAAGGAGATGAGAGTAATGACAGGAAAGAGAGTCCCAGTGGGCTGGCTGGGCTTCTCTTCTAGCATTTCTGCTCCTTTGTTCAGGGGACAGAGGGCAGAGATTTTGCCTGATGTTGAAATCTATTCATAGTCATCCAGTGTTTAATAATAAAGGGCCTCTTTTCAGGTAATGATCTATTAAACCTGCCTGGTTGGATCCCATTTGATTTGAGTAAACTTCAGCTTCCCTCTTGATTCATAAAGAAGCCTTAAACATCTACAAACTTTCTAATCAAGATATAGCATGCATTAGATTTACATATGTGATTTATTCTTTATTAGTACACCTGCACAGTTCTCTTACAGGAACTTTATTATACCTAGGAAAATGGTTTTCATATGAAACATAAAACACCTTACATAAAAAAGTTTAAAAATATTTTCTCATAATGTATACAAATTATTCCCTGGACGGAGTTAAGGGGAACTTGTGGCTCGCTTTGGTTTTTCCCTGATAATCCGTAATGAGGCTGAGCTAAGTATAAGATGGTCCTGCCCATGTCTTGCTTCCAATAGGAGAATTCATGTCTGCTAGAAAAGGAAAGGAACATTCTTGCTCACTTAGGGACTCGAGGACAAACTGAAAAGGAGCTCTTTACCACAGCTGTAGAGGTCCTCACCTGGGGCCACCTCTGCCCCTCTGTATCTTCTGCCTCCACACAGACGGTCCAGGTCTGGTCGGTGGAAACGAACACAGCAAAGCCGAAGGCTGACTTCTTTCCCTTATAGGGATTACAAAGAATTCACAAAGAGAACAAGACAATCTTTTAAAAACCCTCCTTTCCTAATTCTGGACAATAGATTATTCTTACCTCCTACCCAACCACCAACAGTCACCCACACTTTATGGACAAAAAGTGTAGAGAAAAGTCAACAGACCTAAAAAAAAGTCACAGCCCTTCGTGAGAAAAGGATTGAAAGAATTAGAGCAAAAATCTCCCTGTGAAGCGGACTTGCTATGTGGAACTGGAGGTAACTTCAGAAACTTTTTTTTTTTTTGAAAAGGCTTAAAAGGTATTACATCTATGAAAAGGGAGCACTTTAAGGTAAAAGATGATTAAAAAAAACCCAGCCTCATGCCCTATAACATAAAAATACCACAAGAATTTTTCTATGCTTTTGAATTTAATCAAAATAAAAATTTTCCCCTCACCAGCATGTGATACTGAACAGATAGAGCAGTTGTACTCTATAGCAGAAAGCTAGATGTGAATGCTAGAACACAGAACACATTAACAATGATATAATGATAATTGCCATGAACTGAGAGACTTATGATCAACTTATTAGTGAAATTGAATGTAATGGGAATTCCAGATGGAGAAAGAGAGATGATTCTGGAGAAACAATAAAGAAAAAAAATTACAAAATTTCCTGAGGCTCAAGAGAGACTCGAATGTTCAGATCAGTTATGTAATTGGGAAAAATTAATTAAAATGACCCATATGCAGACTACCTTATTGAAATTTCTGTATCTGGGCAGAAAATTCTGGTGGCTGCCAATCAAACTTTTCCTTGGAAACATTTAATTCTGGAAGACAATGAAACAGCACGGTCCGACTTTTGTAGCAAAATTCATTGTGACCCAAGAATTATGTATCCAATCAAGATTAAAAAAGATTATTCATGTGCAAGAGCAAAAGAAAGCCATTCTGAGAGCTGCAAGGAATCAGAAAGAAAATGATCAATGTGCTGTTCCTGAAAATATAAATCAATAAAATATTTGTAACTAAATGAGAAATGCAATGAAATGAAGAACTTATAAATGAGAAAGGAGAAAAACATAAATGGCAGTGAGAAAGCCAATAAAACAGAGGCAAAGCTAAGTATTTTTATTATTATTGTAGGATTTTGAAAAATAGAATTAGAATGGAATAGTAAATAATATCTTTAAATTATTCCACATTATTCCTACAAAAGTTAGGAGGTAAGGGTGGTGTGGTGGAGATTGTTCATTGTCCACTGATATCCATTCAGCCCTCCTGAGACAGAAAGGGAGCGTGTAGTGGTCTCCGTGGTAGGTTATACATACTTCACTCTCATGAATATGTGTGCCCATTGACTCTTCTTGTAAAAGGAAAAGAGCAGAAATGATAGATTCCACTCTCAGGCCTGGAACTTAAGACATTAGGCATGCCCTTTTGGATATGGAAGTATCTCAGTTTTAACCATGAAGGTGGCAACAATGCCCAAGTGCATGGGGGACAATGCCTTGGAAGGAACTTTGGTTCCTCATTCAATGAGGAACATGGTGGTTCTGCTGACCCGGACCATTCACATATAAACTGTTATGTGAGTAAGAAACTTCTTCCTTAAATACCCCACTGTGTCATGGGGTATTTTTGTTACAACATATTAGCTTTATCCTGATTTATATAAATATGTGAGAGGACGAAAAATTATGCATAAAGCAATGGAGAAAACCACCATGTGGATAAAAGCTACAATGTAAACATATGTTGTATAACAATCTGATCAATTTATACATATTGTTATGCAATCTGATTTTTTATAATAGAAAATTTTTTTTTGTCATTCTTCTGTGACAATATATAAAGAGCTACACGTTATTTGTTATTTGTAACTTTCAAATAGTACTCTATAGTATGGTGGTTCCATAATGTATCTAATTCTATTCTTCTCTATTTGGGCATTGCATTTTTGTCCTAAGATTTGGTGATTGCAAATAATTCTACAGTGAAATGCCTCATGCACATATGCACGAATTTTTGTATAATAGGTACTCCAGGAGCAGAATTTTTTGTTTAAGAGTATTCACATACGGGATTGCAAAATTGAACTCTGGAGATGAGAAGAGCCAGAGACAAGTGTTCTAAGTAGCCTTTCCTGAAGCCACTTGTTCTGCTGACATTTATGGCTAGTTGGAGTCTATAGCTGGTAAAACTCAAAATTTTTCTCTCTTGGCTTGGTTGGAGCCCAGCAGAGTTTCTGGCCGACTTGCCCCTGCTTCACATCTCACTGGCTGCAGGCCCCTGCGGGAATGCTGAACCTTCCATCACTCTGCCGAGTAGAGTTCCCCTCAGCCTCCGCGGCAGGCCGACTTCATCCTGCTCTGGCGGCCTCCACGGCAAACCTGGCGATTATTAGTGTCCACACCACCTGGTACTTGAGAGTGAGTGGAGAAGCCTAAGCCTCCTGTGGAGTAATGCTGCGCCAGCAGATTTTGTGGGGAGGGATAGGCAGCAGCCAGAGGGGTTCTCTCTGGATTTCTCAGTATGTGTGGGGTAATAGCTCTCCTTTAAACTTTATTATTATCCCACATTACATAATATACGTTCCTATCTCTGAGCTAGAACCCAGAAGTGGCAAAGCAGGCCACTCATCTTTTCTTTTTTAACTCACATCTTTTCCTTTCTCCCCGCAAAATGTTCCTGAATGGAGAAGGCAGGTTTCCTTTCTTTTTTCTCAAGTAACATTTTCCCCCTTTGTGACTCCTGCTAAGGCTTACCAGGGTCAGATTAGATTAGAAAAGAACTTTATAAGCTAAGTTCTCCAAACCTGGTGGTTATTATACTGGAGAGACATGAAGGAATCTGGGAAGTACTTAGCAAAGCAGTATCCTGACTTGCCCAGCTATTGTCTGTTATATCCAGGGGTAGACAAAAGTAAGTTTACAGTTGTTTATTCTTGTATTATTGTTTGTTAATTATTGTATTATTTTCCATACATACAACTGTAAACCTCCTTTTGCCCACCCTTGTATTTCTATTTTGACAAGCTTTACATGTTCTTAGTCTTTCTTTTTAAATAAACAGTGTGGAGGGGAGCAAAGGGGAAAAACTTGGGACAACTTTAATAGCATAAAAAATAAAATCTTTTTAAAAATAAATAATATAAAATAAAATAAGTAAACATGAATGTTGTCACAGGCAGATAGATGCTTACAGAAGAAAAGGTAAAAGTCTTGTATTTTGGAAAGGGAAAGAGAAAAACACATTAAAAATTATATACATATGTGCGTGTGTATGCATACCTCTGATTTCATTTGATAGGTCCTGCCAGCATGCTCTAAATGTTTTTTCATACTTTAGAGTCCCTTTAGTAGTATGTGAGTCTCCCTGCGCTTGTCAAACCAAGGATATTACTTTTTTAAAAAACTTTTTTGTCAATCAAGAAAACTAATTTGATTTAGTTTTCTTATCAGTAGAAAGATTGATATAGTTTTATGTTTATTTGCCATTTATATTTCTTTCTTCCATTAGTTGCATGTGAATATCCTTCCTTAATTTCCTAGTGGTGGGTCGTTTGACTCTTCTTATTGATTATATGAGGATGTTAAATACGTTAAATACTCAGCGCAGTGCCTAACACATAGCAAGCACTCAATATGATTTTGTTGGGGAAATATAATCACAAAGTCTCCTAAACCAGAAAACTTCTCCACAGAAAGAAAACATTTTTAATATTGAAAAAGCATTTAACCAAAATATGATTCACATTACAGAAAATCCATGAAGTGATTGCAAAGACAGAAAGAAATCTGTCTTTGCATAGCCTTTCACATAGCCAAGCAGGCACAACCTGTTCCATACATGTTTTCAAGGCAAACAATAACTAGTCCTTAAGTAAGAGGAATAGACAGTACCGTATGTCACACGTGGTTTATCCTAGATTCACCTGGTAATTGCGGTGAATATCAGAGTTAGTTAACTGGTTTTATCCAGAGAAAAAACAAACATCAAATTTTTATAACAAGAAGAAATTTTGCAATTTGGAGCAAGGTGCCCATCAAATTTAGGCTCTTAGTTTCCAACAAGATTGGGAGATGGGATGCTATCTCCTTTGATGATTATGCTTCAAAAAGACAGCTCCCAGTCCCTGGAAAAAGATAGTTCTGAATCAGAAGACCTATGTAGTTTTAAAAAGTATTTATATACATTTCAAAGACATGAGAAAATATGGTACAATTGCAAGTATTTTAAAATAAGTGTTGTAAGGGGAAGGAATGGAGAAAAATCTCTTCCCTAATTTTCAACAAGGAGAGTTAAACTTCTTAGTTTTAACTTGTGTTTTTCCTAAAAGTTGCTAATAATATTGTTATTTGTGTGTGCTTTAAATATTAGACATACTACATTTTGTCATTAAAACAAGTAAAACAAAACAGAAACCAAACAAAAAAAATCCTAACTGGCCTTGGAGGTCTTTCTGAATCTGGCTCCTGTTACCTCTCAGATAACACCTGGGATGACTCTCCCATGTCCTCCATTCAACTACAGGGAAACATGCACCAGGACTTTGTTGTGGCTCTTGTTTCTGCCTGGACCAATATCCCAAAGGTGTACACAGTTTTCTTCTTTCTTACCCCTTAAGTTTTTTTCTTTTTTTTTTTTTTTAATGCCATACTTTTTCATTGAAGGTTAGCTTGACCACTGTGCTCAAAATGATATACTGTTTCTGGCCGCATGTTCCCACCTTGAACTCCCGTTCCTGCCTTGCTTAATTTATTTATAGCACTTAACATCTCTTAATAGACTAGATTCTGTACTATGTATTTGGTTTGTCTCTTCTCTTATTAAAAGGCAGTGTTGTGGATACACAAGATTTTGTGTATTTTGTTCACTGCTCTGTCTCCAGGGCTGAGTAAGGTCTCAATAATATTTTTTGGAATGGATGAATATATTAATAAAATACACTGAAATTTTAATTGGCTTTTCATTAAATGCACAAGGTTTTTCATATGTAAACATTTTTATTATTATGT